GCCCATATTTATGTTGTTGCATTTTGATGTATGCAAAACTATACGACTGACTGTCGTATGGCCTATTGACAGGCAGACGAAGTACGAGTAAATCTTCTTGCATGTAAGCCAAGTACATACATACGTGTACATACTTATAAAACTATTGGAAATTGTGCGACAGGTATTGCGTAGTGGATCATGTTGCATAAACAATTGGCAAAACTGACCTCACTTGCCTGACAGCAGCTGTAGCAGGAGCAACGTGTTGGGGTGGTCAGCATGTTGAAAGAATTGAAAATGAGAAATAAGGTGCAATTAGTAGGTACATATATACATTATTATGCAAGGTACATAAGGGTGATATAGGGAAAGTTGAAAAAAAATATTATAAATCCATTAAGTGCCATATTATAAATTTCGATCTCCCCATTTATATACAAAATAGCATTGCACAAAATGCCAACAAAAAATCGATTGTTGAGTTGTTATAAATCACAAATGCTAGTCCTGAAATAGTAACCAACCTGTAGAAATGACTTGGCCTTAAAACATTTTGGGTCCACTGAAGAGGTCATCATAGAAACAAACGCCTATTTTGAGGACGTTTAGATTTCGTCCCATCCATCACTCTAATTTCTATTAATTTTTATCGCGACAGAGAGTCAGTCAAATGGACCGTAAAATTTAACAAACAAAAAAAGAAAATAAAAACAGAAATCGAAAAACTGTCTGCAGGTTCATTTTGTGACTACCCTAATTTGCTATTGTATAATTCGAAAAAAAATCCGCTGCATCCATATGCGCTGAGACAGTAATTACTGCCTGGCAGTTGCATGCAAAATTATAAGTTGACTGCCACTACGTAGCTCTTTCATCAAGCTTATAGGTCTAAAATTAAAATAATACATTTTAAATACAATGGTAATAACAAAAAAAATATATTCCCTAAGCACAATGTGTGCAACTTTTGGTGGTCAACTGCTGGTAGGTCTTTACCATAAATGGATAGAAATTATGGGCAAAGGAAAGAGCAAATAAAGAGTTATAGCTCATGTTTACAGTCACATGGCTGGATGATGCAGAAACGATTCTTTTGAGGGCGGCTTTTCTCCGCACAATTTCAAAGCAAGGTTCTGAATTCGATTTATCTCAAATAGTATATTTTAAATGATGCATACATGCATATATTATATAAGTAATCTGTTAATCAGAAATATAAGAAAAAGGTTCCGGTTTGGGAGTTATCATTTTCGATTTCGTGTTTCGATCAGAAATTTTATTTTTTCGCCTGAGTGTTTGTTTTTTAATAAGTAATAGGTATTAGGTTTCGAAATATGAAATAAAAATCAGAAGATAAACTAAAAATATCTCGAAAAGCTCAAAATTAGCACAACAATTTAAATAAAAGTTCAAAATTCTTGATAAATGATCTTATTCAGAAATACTCAAAACATAAGCTTTATTTTCTCTCCGTGTTTTGAATGAAAAAATTTAGTTCAACGTTTGAAATTTTTTCTCCATCTCCTTTTTTTGTATTTTGTATCATTTTATTTTTTAAAGTTTCTTTATTTTATTTCTGAATATTTTATGTTTTATTATTTTTGATTTTTAATTTTATTTATTTTTTTAATATATTGTTTTCTATTTGATTCATATTTATTTAATTTTTTTGTTATTTTTATTTTATTATATTATTTTCAATTATTTATTTTTTAATTTCTATATATCATTTACTAGTTTATTATTTATTATTTTAATTTGTATGTTTTTAAGTTATTATTTTATTTTTCACTATTTAAATTATTATTCTTTATTTCTTAAAATTTATCTGTTTATTATTTATTTTTTATAATTTTTCTTATTAATTGTATGTATTTCATTTTTGGAATTTTTATTTTATTTTTTTATTATTTAACTTTTACTATTCTTTACTATTATATTTTATATAGTTTTAGTTCTTATTGTTTTCTATTTATTTGTTTTATTTCTGAAAACTTTAGTTTTTTCTGATTTTTTTGTTATTTCATTTATTATTATGTTGTTTCTTATCATTTTGTTTTTTGCTATTTTATTTCTTGTTTCTAATTCTTTAAGTTTTTACAACTTTATTCTTTTATTTCCTTTTATTTTATTTTTTAATTATTTTTTTTTTTAAATGTTTTTTTAAATTATTTTTTTAATTATTATTTTTTTTGGGTTATTAATTTTTTCTATTTTGCTATTTATTATTTTATTTGATATTATTTTATTTCACATCATTTTTTTATATTATTTTATTTTATATTATTTTATTTCTGTTTTTATTATTTTTTTCAATTTCAATATTTTATTAACTATTATTTTATTTATTTTTATTTCAATCTTTATTATGTCATTTCTTAAGATTTTGTTTTTTATTATTTTTATTTTTTAAGTTTTTACTATTTTTTATTTTTCTTTTTTATTATTTAATTTGTTTTTGTTATTATTTTATACTATTTTATTTTTTTAATTCTAATAGTTTATTAGTTTTTTTATTTTCATTTTAAATTTATTTTTATTATTTTATATTTTCTCAATATAATGATTTTATTTTACTTTAAATTATTATTGTTATATTCTTTATTTTTTTTTTTATTTTATGTTTTTATTTTATTTTTTTAGTTAATTTATGTTTTCATTCCATACTTCTTAATTTCGCTTTTTAATTTTATATTTATTTTTAACACATTTATCAACTGGTTGTGCTACTGCCACGCTCTGCAAAAATCTATTTTCTTTATCCATTGAAACTATCTACAATATATACTTATTTAACCCCACCATTCATTATGCAGCCGCCTAATGGACTGCCTTCTGCCTGCTGGTATGTAAATACCGAACGCCCAGCACGTTCGGTGGCCCACATTAGCCCGCTGCATTTATACTCAATGCCAAAGTTGCCAAAAGCATTCAAAAGTAAAATTCTTCAATTCAATTCATGGATATGCCAGTGTGTAAGTAGAGCCAATTGTAAATAGTTTGCCCTCAAGCTAAAACTTTTAGTAGTGCTCCTCTGAACTGTCTTGCCACACATAAATATTTATACGGTGAGTCCGTTGTCTGTCTGTCCATTTGGAAGCGAATTCAAGGGATCGAAGCAACTTGTAAACACGTGCGCGCGCCAAACAAACAGAAAGTAATTGTAGGTATGTCAGAGTGTGAGTATGAGTATTGTACATTGCTGCTACTTTCGAGTAGGGAATCTGAGTGGAGACATGCAACAGGCAGCAGCCGCAGGCAAAGTGTCAAAAGTGCCGACAAAAGTGGGAAATCGTGCAATCACAGCCGCTGCTGCCGCCGTCGCCGCCGCCGCCGTTGCTGCTGAATGGATTCGAAATGGAAAAGTAGCAATGAAGTGCCAACTATTAGCTGCAAGAGAGAGGGTGTTGGAAGCGTTTGTAGCATTGTGTGGAAGGTAGTTAGCTAGAGATATCTAAAAGGCATAGTGTCGGTAACTGTTAAAGAGCCACCACCAAATGTATTTACGGCAACATTACGTTCATGTCACTGGACAATTTATCGGCCAATCTTTATGCACTCAATTCAACAAATGGCAAATTATATTTGCGCAAGTGAAGGTGGTGTGCAAGGTAAGAGGATGAAGAAGAGGTAGGGACTTGGGAAAAACTCGCCCCAAACAAGCGAACCGAGCCGAACCAAAAACAGCTGCGTTCAAATGCGCAACTCATGCGCCAATTGCACCAGCGGGATTACAAGCCGCTGATAAGCCGCACAACAGTACTGCGGTGCAGAGATATCAATAGACAAAAGTCGATTGGTTTGAGCGCCAAGTACGCGGTACCAAGTCCAGGCAGCAAAGCTCACCTGCAACAACGCAACACACTGCCCGACCGACACGCTAGTGTTTTCCCTGTTGGTCTGCTTGTCCGCTGCCCGTTGCCTGCTGGTCGCAACCCGCTTGCAAATGGCAATGTCAGCCTTGACAGCTGCGCTACCTTGCAAAATGCAGCGTGCTGCGAGACGAAAAACAGTTTGTCGATTTTGCTGATTGCAGCAACTTATCTATGAGATACTTTTACCAATTTCGGTTAGACAGCTCGACTGACTGGTTGTTCGTTTGTTAGACTGTTTGGCCTGTTTGCCTGCCATTATCATGATATGGTCGTGGCAGCGACACAACTCTCATGTGCAGAAGGCGCAAAAACCTCACACCAAGTGCTTTGCAGTTTATAGTCTGTGCGATTGAAAGATCGTTTGTCGATTCAAATCGATCGAGTTATTAATGCCCAAAAGCGCCGGCCGGCATACCGACACATATTGGCGGTGGTGGTAAGGCGGTTGTTTGCAGATGGTGGAAGGGAACGTGCCAACTAACAACCTGTTCTGACGTTTGCTTGTGACGCACGCTGTTGTGCAGTTGTTGTTGTAGCTGTTGTTGCTGTTGCTATCGTCGGCAACTTAAGTTATTTCTCACTTGTCTCACAATCTATTTGGTTGCCTAGCGCTCATCGCCTGTACTGTCGGTGGCCTGACTCTGTTGGTTGTTGCTTTGTTGACTGTTGAATGTCGCTTAAACAACAAGCACGTTGCTTCTGCTAATACCGTCCGCGCTCTTCCCCTTCGTATAGTTTACTCAAACTCTGAACTGGTTTCGCGATTTATTTATTCACCGCTTTTGCGCCTAGTCGTAAAACTGTTTGTGTCAGCGCATGTATTTTCGCATATAAATCTGTACGTATGTACATTTGTAGCTTTGAACTACTCACACATTTATATATATGTTAGTGTGTGTATTTTATATCGCCTGATCTGGCTTAATGAAGATCGTGACTAAATTGGTGATCTTGAAACTTGACGTTTCGCAATAGCGCTTTAGCATTTAGCAAAAAATGATTATGTATCTTTAAAAATAAGATTACCGTTGTTTGTCTAAGATAAATTTGTTTCTTTATAATATTTTTGTGATAATTTTATATTTTTGTTTTATGCAAATAAACGATTTTAGATCTCAATAAAGCAGTTCCAAAGTTATTTACCTTTTTAATTATGTAAAAGTCGAGACGTCTTCAGCTTTGAATTCCCGCAGCAAAGAAAATTCTGTAAGATCAAAAAAAAGTGAGTTAAATAACAGTATTTTCATTTAAACTTTAAAGCTAATTTGAGTTAGTTGTGGGTAAAATAATTAATGCAACCATGGAATTGGTAAAAAAAAATTAGAGAGAAAACTTGATGCTACCAGATAGGAGCTTTTGGGAAAGGTATCTACAGCGTTATATGACTAACATGATTACAAGACGTACATACATATATAATAGATCAGTCAAAAAAAAATTAATAATATTTTAATGTTTTTCATAGAAAAATGTTTATTTGTTCATCAAATTTTATTTTATTCCCTTCAACATACATACATAGTTCCCGCAAGATAAATAAATTACTCTTATGACACAGCGAGTTTTCCAATTTTTAAGGCAGTTCTGATACATACTCTTCCCTGGATTTGATTTTGTAACCTCAATCAACACAAAGCTCCGTACGCTCATGAGTCTCTCTAAATTTTTTCCCATGACATGGCGTGAACAATTTTCTTACGATTGCAGGAGATGTTCGTATTGCTTAACCCAGACGACAGCCTTCGCTAATTACGGCGGAACAAACCTTCTCAATCTAGCATACAAGGTACTATCGAGCGTATTGTGTAAGAGGCTAAAGCCACAACAAACTGGTTGGACCGCTTCAGTGTGGCTTTAGGTCTGGAAAATCCACCACTGGCCAGATATTCTCTATGCGCGAAATCTTGAAAATGGAAGCCTTCTTAAAGCCGTTGTGAGACAGCTCACCAACATTATACTATATCGAGCCAAGATCTATAAAGCCATGAGATTCTTAAAATTATTATTTTTTTTTTTGAATTGGCAATATATCTAAACACATGGAAATCCATTGAAAATATCCAGACAATTTTCTGTTGCTGACATGTAATAGAAGAGAGCAGCTACATTTTGATAATTCATAAAATATTATGCGCTTCCACTTCATTTCAGTATATTAGTGACGAATCTAACTAAGGTTGATAAATATTATTAATTATTTGGTATTCCATTATTTATTTGTGAAGATTAACGAAGACCCCTATGAAGTCTAATATTTTGTAAAAAATAGAACTTATTTTGTTCTTAAGCAACTTCTTAAATCTCAATATTCAAAAATAATAAATAATTTGAAGAAAATATGAAAACGAACTGCATTGATTACAAATAAATAAATATAGCTGCCCGTTTATATGACATTTCACTGACTAGAAAATAATTCAAGTAAAAATACATAAAGCCTTTTTCAAACTAATTTGTATGCATAATGGAAATGCAATTGCAAAACATAGTTCATCAACTTGGTTAGTTGGAAATGCATACATACATATGTATTGTACATATTTAGGTATGCTTAAAGTGAAAGCCAATTCTACATTAACAATGCAATTAAATAGAATATAATAAAAAAATACTCAAAGACTCAGCAGTGGATACTTGGAAACATAAAACAACGAATTAATGCAGAAGGGAATGTACGGAAAGCTATACATCAAAACATGGAATAATTATGAGTGCCAGCCAAGAGCACGTGATTGCATTTTAATGCACAAATATTAACAATTTTTCAAATGAATTCTTCAATAAGGAGTGTAGGTTAAATAGAGAAATAAATATGATAAGCAATAAAGAAAAGAATTAATAAAATAAAAGAAAAAATAAATAAATAAAATAAAAAAAATAAATAAATAAAATAATATAACACAAATTAAAATTAAATAAAAAATAATAATATAGAATAAAACTAGTTAAAAGAAAAACGAACGTATTTAAAATAAAATGAAATATCATGATATGAAATAATATAAAAATCAATGAAATGAATTGAGCAAAAATTAATGAAATTAAATAAAACAAATAACATATAAAACAAAAAATAAATAAAAGATTATAGTGTAAAGTAAGATAGATTAAAATATAAGTAACATAATATGAAATTAAAATAAATTAATATAAAGTAAAATAAAAGAAAATAAAATAAACCAATATGAAATTAAAAAAAAGAAGTAAAATAAACTATATTAAAATAAAATAAAATAAAATAAAATAAAATTAAATTAAATTAAATTAAATTAAATTAAATTAAATAAAATAAAATAAAATAAAATAAAATAAAATAAAATTAAATTAAATTAAATAAAATAAAATAAAATAAAATAAAATAAAATAAAATAAAATAAAATTAAATAAAAGAAAATAAAATAAAATAAAATAAATTAAATAAAATATGTTCAAAAAATAAAATAGTATCATATAAAATCTACTACAATTAAACAGAAAGAAATGTATGAGTTTTTGTTTATATTTTTATTTATTTATTTTAATTTTTTTTAAAAGCCTGGTTTCATACCCAGCCGATTATAAAAAACCATTTATTCTTCTTTGATGGCAAGTAAAATATTTTAAATTTTTCTTTCGCAATAAAATTGGGATTCATTAAATTTTCGACGCGTTGATGATTGTGGGAAAATTTATTGTAAAAAAGTGAAAAACCACTCATCTAGAGATTTATATGAATTTGCATGCAACAAAGGATTGCAAAAATAATTGCTGAATACAGAAAGAAATATGCCAATGGAATGATATAATTCGATATGATCATTTATGTACGCATACTGTTGTGAGCGTAAAGTGTAATTTTCGCGCTTTGTACGTAATTTTTTAGTGATGCATACATTTTTGTGCGCATATACATACATATGTAGACATACATGCACTTTTGTAAGTTTGTAAGTTGGTTTGTAACAAAATTAGCGCGTAAAGATTTTTGCGTAATTGTAGCGTGAAAACGTTGCAAATGTTGCAGCATCACAAAACAAATAATGCAAAGAAAATTAACAACGATCAAGTTATAGATTTTTATATACCCTGTATGACACCGAGGAACATTATATTTATAATGCTGTTTATATTTTTTTTCTAACTGGTTATGCAGAACGGATCTTAATCAAATTTGTGTTTCGAAACTCCTTGGGTTGATCAGGTTTTAGTTAAATTAAAGAAGTTTTCTCTAGGAGTCTCAGTCAAAATATAGTCCAAATCCCGTTAAAGTCAGGTGACCAAAAAACTCATTACTATGGTTGAAATAACTTCCCGGAGAGATATTTAGAGAGCCAAAGTTTCAGAATGAGCCGAGAATTATATTGGTTTGGATAGATTGTGCAAAGTTAAACTCAAAGCGGTCGCGCGCCGTCGAATCAACCGCGCTAAATATGTTTCGCTCATAAATACATTATTGAGTTATGTTATTTGACTCTATAATTTTCTGAATTTAAGTTACTTGTTTTCGACTTTTTCGTATCTAAATACAATGATAATATATCTAAGTACACAAAAATAAACGATTGTTAGTGACCTGGTGCTTTACTTTTATAATATATATCACAGCTTGAAATCGTCATTGGTGCCTCAGTTCTCAATTTAGAGGTTGTTAATAAGTGAAAGAGAAAGAGAGAGAGAGAGAGAGAGAGAGAGGAGCAGCAAGCTCGCAAAAATGGTATACCCTATGAAAATATACTAAAACACTGTTGTAGAAGCTAGAAAAATGCTATTGGAAAATACACCAAAATGACGTAAACACAGTACAAAAACGGAACTGACAAGAAACCCTTGCAGAGTTCGTCTAGGAATATTTAAAATAGTTTTCCCAGATGAATGAAAAAGAAAAAACGATTGACATGCTAACGCTGCCTCTATTTAATTTACTTCAGCGGCTAGCTAACGAAGAAGAGTGTCAAATTTCTGGCTAATTTCAAAGAGATAAATTCCTCTGAAATATTAGAGACTTTATAGCTCTTTCCAGCAGTCACCAAAAGTCGCAAGATAAAAATTTTACGCCCTCCCAGTTATTGGTTATCTCGAATATTATCGATCAGCAAAACCAATTATAATATTCCATAAAAGTGTACAGCTGCTGGCCTAGCGATGATATCGACATTATTAGCCTCAACAACAGCGCCGTTAGCTCTGAATGATGAATGATGAGCTGAACGAGCTATATGATGATATTGACATAGTAAAGCGATGAAGAGAGAGCGTGTAACCTGGCTAGGTCATATCATCCGAATGGATGTGAGCACTCCAGCTTTGAAAGTATTCGATGCAGGACCCGCTGGTGGAAGCAGAGGAAGAGGAAGACCTCCACTCCATTGGAAGAATCAGGTGGAGAGCGACTCAGAACTTAATTCTAGATACTGAAAAACTCCCAACCAGACAAATGCTCTGGTTGCGACGATTCCACACGACTACTTAAATATAATTTTTTTTCATATAATTTTTTACACTCAACATCTGTTATACTTTACTTTTATATATATGTACATATGTACATAAGCCATAATTACAATTTTATTACATTTACTATTGCTGCATGGATAATAACAACATTTGTAGGTCATTAAAAGCACAGCGCATGCGTAACCAACCGACCGCCATTTACGCCGCATAAACGCATTGGAAACAGCGATGATGCGAGCAAAAATTTTGCAATCGACACAGATAAACATTGTATTAAAAAGAAGTGATAATAAATTAAAAAAATAATTGTTAAGTAAAAAAAAAAGCTAATAAAAAAACAGGAAAAAAAGTAAAAAAAAACATAATATACTAAAAAATTAAAAGGAAATAATTTTAAAAAGTAATATCTTTAAGTTGTGAATCTTCTTTTGTAACTAGCCGAAGTTGCTAATAAAAATTAAATGTGCCATTTGCCAAACATGCCATTGACTAAAAACTAAAAGCGATCAAAATGCAAACCCGTTATATTAGCCGGTGTCACTCTATTTTCGCTACCTTTCAGTTTGGTCGTTTATCCGCTAGGTTGGCGTTTAAAATGTCTAATCAGCGTTTGCGCGCCTTTTCCACCGAATCGGTAAATTTGGCATATGTCACTACATTGTTGTTGTTTCACATGCATACTCGCATTTTTATAGGTTTATTTGCAACTCTTCTTTAAAACCAAACAGCGCGTCTACATCAATCATCGTGAACGTTGTTGTTTGCTGCTCG